CCCTCCATCCTCCCAAGCATGACATCCCTCTTCAAGGACTGATCCATTGTAACATGTCCAAACTATGTCAGATGAAGCTTCAGAATCCTTGACTCCAAGGAGCAGCCTGGCTTCACCCTCTCCAGGACAAACCTGTTTGTTCTCTTAGCAGTCCATGGTATAGTCAATACTCTTCTCCAGCACCACAGCTCAAAGGTATCAATTCTCCTTCTATCATCCCTAATCATTGTCCAGCTTTCTGACACACAGCAAGTTATTGCGAAAACCATGGCCTGTATCAGGAGCATCTTAAGTCTCCAGACTGAAATTGTTGCTACTCGGTACTTTGAAGAGTCTGTAACAGCAGACTTTGCCATCACAATACATCTTTTAATTTCCTGGCTGCTGGTGTTGGTTGTCGATCCAAGCAAACTAAAGCTGTTAACAATCTCACTCTCTTCACCATCAATCATGAAGCTGCCAATCAGCCCAGTGGTGAGAATCTCTGTGTTCCTGATGTTAAGCTTCAATCCTTATTGAAGGCTGCAGTTCCTGACTTCTGCAGCAAGAGCTTCAGGTCCTCCTCAGTTTCAGCAAGCAGGGTTGTGTCATTTGCATAATGCAGACTGTTGATGAGTTTACCTCCAATCTTGATGCCACATTTCTCCTCATAGAGCTCAGCCTCCTGAGCAATCTGTTCTCCATGTAGATTGAAAAGATATGAAGATAGGCTACATCCCTGGCATACACCCTTCCCAATTTTGAACCATGAAGTGTCTCCTTGCTCTTTTCTGACAACTGCCTCCTAGTCCAAGTATAGGTTTCATATTAGCATGGTCAAGTGTTCTCGGATTCCCATTCTTCTCAAAGTTAGTCTCAGTCTGTTGTGATCTACACAATGAAATGCCTTTTGCATAGTCAATGAAACACAAATATTCTTCTGGTATTCTCTGCTTTCAGCCAAGATCCATCCAACATTGGCTATAATATCCCTAGTACCACTACCCCTTCTAAACCGAGCCTGTACCTTCAGGCAGTTCTTTGTTGATGGGCTGTTACAGTCATTTTTGGATAATCTTCAGCAGAATCTTGCTTGCATGTATTATAAATGATACTGTTCGATAATTTCCATACTCTGTTGGATCACCCTTCTTTGGAATGGGAACAACCTTACATAAGATTTTATATCCTCACATTTACAATAGTCTTATTACCAAAACCATTTATGGAAAATAGGAACTGCATTGGAACATGTATCTCTGGATTGGAAATGATCATATTGTTAATATTTCTAGCCTTAAATGCAAAAGATTATATTGTTCCAAATTATTTGTTATATATTTGTTTAAATTTTCCCCTCTTTTAACAACTGGGATCTAGAGGGAAGAGAAGAGACCAGAGAATGGCCAAAATTATTGGGGCAGCTATTGCTGCCAGTTTAGGGCCTGTGTCAGGAAGAGGAAGTCTTTCTCATAAACAGTGCCACCCTAAGGTAATAAAGGAGGTCAGAATTGCTTCCACTGTGGAAAGCTGGGCCACTTCAGTAGACAGTGTCAC